TCATGATTTGATCCACAGATAATGCTTGATCATAAAACTGCAAGCAAGAAATCCTGCCACGGAATTGCATTTTCCTATTTCTTAAGGCTCCAACAATAACATTCTCATGCGTCGCTAACTCCATTTTAGCTAAAACAATTTTTCGCATGACGATGTTATCGTTTACCCATATAGTTGCCATACCGCTGTAGTACTCATACGTAACACCGATGAAATTCCAAGAGTTTTCTTTAAGAACGCCCTTTTTATGTATGAGATAACTCCTAGAACTTTCCCGTTCCTTAAAAAGCACTTCGACTCCGAGGGTTGAATGGAAGACCGTCATCGAGCAACCGTGATCTATTATTTGACCAGTGCTAGAATTACTAAGATGCACCCAAGCAAATACACTCATCGAAAACCTTGTATCGATTTCCCCGCGATTTTCCAATTCCACATGGCTATTGCTAGTTCCTAAAGACAAGGAGCCACTTGGATTTCCAAACGGACCTGGTTCTAAGGTGATGTCACTGAGCACAGCCATACTGGCTCCACTTGGACTGAGGTCCACAGTTTTGTTAATACCACCCACGAAGAAGAGAGCCACAGGGAGGGGAACATCTAGAAGCAGAAGTAAAAACATAAATAACTCGGACAGATTCTGAATAATGCGATAAACGACGTAATGTTTTTGAAACTTTTAACACCTTTAAAGCGCAATTAAACATCTGAAACAAGATCAACTACAGAGTAAATCACTTGAATTCATCAATTGGATTTGTGGGACTATGTCTGAACGAAGCGTACACCAGTCAGTATAACAACTTCACTTAAGACGGAACTAATTCCATTTAAGGCTTAAAAGAAAAGCGAAAAGGCTACTTAATGTGGTTATGTTGAAAGGTTAATCTGTAAGGCTGTTTTGCCTTCGAAAATGTCTTTAATGCAGATGCCATTCAAATATTTACATTGATTACAAGTTGTTATTGCAAGTTGTTAAGAAACGTACCCAGTGGCTCTTCACAAATGTATCTCCTAAGACTGGTGCAAGGATCGTCATTCCAGCCCCATCCATACCCACGCCAATTTGAATCCCAACTAACAAAACTTTGGAGAGATCCACACTTGCCATCACCACTTGGTTCGGTAGGCTTCCACAAAGCTTTGTGTACGTTTGACACCTTTTCGCCGTCTACCCAAGTCCAGCGTACCTTGCTCTTTAGCCCAAGAAAAAGATCCAGGTCTTCAGAATTTAGATGTTTTCTCAGATTGGCAAGGGCTTCCAGTATATCAACGCTTTTGGCAATGGCCATTTCGCTATTTTGTTTGTGGCACAAAGTTCGCGCCAAGCGCCACTCCCGTGGTGATTCAAAATAAAACATGAAACAAGATTTTCCTACTCCGTACCAACCGGGCTGACATCCAGAAGTCAAACGATTATCTGCAAATTAACAAAACCTTATTTTAAGCTTAATTTAACACTAACCGATGTAAGGTAAATGTATCTACCTTACCAGCTATAATTTCCTTGGATCTGTGCTTTTTGTTAAAACGAAGGTAGCATCAACGGGTCGAAACAATTTTCCAATTGATTACAACGGTGTGAGACGAGCGAGTCCCAGCAGTAATTTTATTTCTTAATTAATAGACATATTATTTTTTTTAAATACAGAGCTGGGTTTGAAAGTTTTTATTTGAGATATCAACCATTATTACCCACAACTAAATTCGCGCGATTTAATTGGCCATTTTACCTCACGTGGTGCGAAATCACTGGACAGTTATTGCGCAATGGCCAAAGATTTAAAAAATGTTTCTCTTTAAAAATCGTTCAAAATGAACAACGCGCGGTTAATTTTCCTACCTGGCTCAGTTACATTGAGAGCACAAAGAGAGAATTTAATTTTTCCTCTGCAACAATCCACGGCACTGTAGTCGTCCAGACTTATCATGGGTCCACGGTTATCCCTTTTGATAAAATAAATCTTCCTGCAATTTCGAGACGGTCCGTTGTCATTAAGGACAACCACATCCAACGGATAGTTATCATAGTCAGACAGATATAGTTTTTCCCTAACGAAACTGTGTCTCCTGGATGCTTCAGAGTAGATAAAATAAGAGGTTTCTGTTGGAAGTCCTCGTGGATGTTTGAGAGTAAAACGGAATTCTTCGGAGTAGAGACTGTGTTCAGGAGGTCGAGAGGATATTTTATAATCTTTACCCATATACG